GCTCAACCTCCTCCTGATGCTCTCAGAGCATTTACTGATGTGTTAGCTGTTCCTTTCATATCCCAGCATGTTTAATATATTTTTTTCACAGGCAAGGAAAATGAGGCCATACAAAAACGACTTGCTTAAACTGCCCAATCACTCTGTGGCAAGGCTTCCCAATCCTTTGCTCACTGTTTTTGATCAGATCTTTTCCTGAGTGACTTACACAAAGTCCATGAAAAGTGGTCATGTGTATCTGTAAAATAGCCTTACACCCACACGTAAGGTGGACAGCAGCCTGCTTTTGGGGGGCAGTGTGATTTTGATGGACTTGAGCAGCAATCTGAGCAAAGGGAAGAAGTGTCTGAAGAGCCTGTGCCTTGCCATGCAAAGGTCTTCAGAAGCATGTGATACTGCATGAAACCTAAGCAATGGTCTAGCATTCATCCACATCCATACATCTGTTAGCAATGCACACATCTGGTCAGCTGCAGCTTGCTAGATCCTTGTAAAAATTAACAAGCCACAAAGTGCGGACTGCTGTACTTCACTGCACAGAATGAACTCAAGCAACAGCTAAAGCTGGGGAGCAGAGGAGGGAAAGGGAGGAAGAGGAGGCAGACAAAGGCAACATAAGAATTGCATTTATTTTTTAATCCCATCTCTTTCAGTGTCTGTGATGAGCGCTGTAAGCAAAGGAATCTAACTGAATTAGAATTTCAATATGTCCTGAGCAGATTGCAGCCATTTCCATTCATGAGCAGCACGTCCCAGCTGTAATTGCCTGCTTGCTTATCCGCACAGCTCTTTACAGCTAATCCAAATGTGGACTCAAAAATAAATAATGACAGAGCATTCACTTTCCCCTGGGCAGTAGTTTTAGCATCGCCCCTGCTGTCACTTTGTTCCACCTGCTGCTCTCAATGGCATAGGAGCTGACTCAAGGCAGATAAAAGATGATTGACCCACTCAAAGAATTAGGTGGCGGGAGAAGGGGGGGAAACCACTCCTGCTGTATCTGCCCTGGTTGTTGGAGCTTTTCCTCTGGATGCTGCTGTTTATCTCCTTCCCGCGTTCTCCTCTCACTGCTGTCCCCAGCTCCACCTTGCTGTGATCTGCTTCTCCTCCGACACTTCCCCAAGGGACCTCAGTGCTGTCCCCTTCCCATATAGCTCAGGACAAATCCTCGCCATTTGCTCCCACCCCAAAACTCAGTTGTCGTGCTTTTCTGAAACGAAGCACTCTTCTTGGGGTCATGTGAAAGCCAAGTGGTCACGGAGGTGGTCTCCTTTCCATGAAACTTAGGCAAGATTCTGCCTTTGCTCTCTGACATTGGGAATGGTTTGTCTTGGCTCTTCTCCATCCTTCCCGGTTGTAAGGAATATTGTCCATCTTCCTTTAGACTGTTTTCACCACTATGTCCAGTCTTGGATATTTATTCCTCTGACTGGAGCACTGACATTGCAAGACAGCTTTGCCACAGACTTCCCGGGAGACTTTGGCTTAGTGGCTTGGCACCCTCTGTGCCTCTGCTCATCATGGGTACAAAGACATGTTTGTTGCTTTGCAGTCTGCCCTGTCTGCTTTGCATGACTCTATGAGTCTGCTTTGCAGGACTCTATGAGATGACAGCAATGCAGGGACATCCAGTCATTAAGAGGAACCAGTCAACTGTAGAGTCAGGTGACCCTTAACTCCAGGATATTCACGGGTGTCCAGCCCCTGCTATGCCCCCTATTATTTTTAGAAATTATCATCTTAGTGTCCAAAAGAAGCTGAGCTTTCCCTAAGATCAGGTGAAGTGCGTGCCTCCAGAAGCATACCTGGGGAGAAGGCCATTCCCTCTTGACAACCATCAAGGAGACAAACTTCAGTGCAGATCTGGAGCAGGAAACATCCCCCAGCACCTAGAGAGCAAGGCTGCAATGAACATCCATTCCGTTTCCCTTCCCCTGTCCTCTTCCTGTTCCTCACTGGGTTTAGTACAGCATGATCACATGAGGGAGACCACTATTCTGTCACCCACCTGCTCTTAGCCAGATGATGTGGTCCAAGGTAGCATAGCTTTTCTGGTGCAGTGCAGTGCCTAAGTTCATACATCCCTCAGCGATTATGGAGATGTATGCTAAGGTTTAAAGGAACCTCACGCCAGGTAGCACAGCACTTTCATTGTCTTCGTTCTCCCTACTCCATCTTTCCTTATCCGTAGGGTCTTTGGCAGAGCAGTTCTCCCTGTCAGCCTCTCCCAGCCAGGCTGCTTTGGAGCACATTGCAGCGGGACGACCCAGCGCCTGCCACCGCTTCGCCCCTCCCAAAGTCGGCCCTCTTAACAAGCAGCCTGTGCCCTTTCCTGAACCCAGACAGCAGCTGAGATGATGAATATAGCGCTTGTCCAACATGTCGCTTGCTACGTAAATTCAAATTCATTTACAACTGACAAAGCACAGAAAGCTAAAAATGTCTGCAGAGTCCTGGTGGGCAGAGGGGCAATTATCCCCAGCTATTCCTCAGGAATGCTGATCCTCGGTGACTGCAACGTGCCAAGGGAGCCATTGCCTTGTGCTTGGACTGCAAATGCACCAGCACCAAAATGGGATGGTGGAAAGAAGAGTTAGCTCGTCACTAGATGTTCTGCTACCTGGAGCTTCTTCAGCTTGAAACCCAGGTGGAGAGCTCAGCTCTGAGCTCAGCGGAGATTTAGAAGCAGGGTCAGAAATAGAAGTGAATTCATTAATGCAGCATCATTAGCCATCAGTCCCCCAAAGCTCTTGTCAGTAAGTTAACACCAGCTCCCCGTTGTCCAGTTTTTCCTTGCCATAATGAAGACCCCCAGTTTCAAGGTCGCCTGTTGGCTGGATTAGTCAGTTAGCATAGCTGGAGCTCCTGAGATTCTCCAAAGAGAGCAGTTATTTATGTTGCTCCCTGTCCCACTGTGTGCCCATTAGCTCACATTACAGCAAGGTCCAGTCATGAGGCAGAAATACTCCATCTGATATTGCCACTGGTGCTTCACGATTTAGTGTTGCCACTGCCAGGGCGTTAAATGTTCCCTAAGTGGTAGCTATCCTGCACTAATGCAGATGCATTTCTTTTATGAGTTAGTTTATTGCCTTCCTTCTTAGTCCATGCTGGCTGTTCTGCTGCTTCCCAGCTCCCCTGATTAGCAGTGGTGCTTATTTACTATTATGGCCACAGATAGGTAGAATTAGGGCCAGCAAATATTGTGTTCAGATGGACACCTGCAGGGAAAACAGCTATTCTGACAACAGAAGAAACACTTCCCTCCAAACTGGATCAGAGGAGGGGAATAGACAATCAGGTACTTGCCTGGTTTCTCTTTTGCATCTTCAGGGCACTACTAGTTAGTGAGACCAACCCTGGTTCCTGCATGCAGGAACTTTGGTGTCACACCAGACCTTCTTCCACGCAGCCAGGGCCCAGCTCCCATCCTTCATTGTGCTATACTTCTCCCTGCCCTATAGTTCAGCAAAGTCACAGGAAAACACACAGACTTGGCTGTGGATAGGACTCATCAGGGCATGAGGTCTAGCTGCCTGTTTCAGGAAACTCACATCAGACTGCACCATCTTCCTCCCCAGGCAGCCTTGGATGCCTGGTTTCAGTCTCTTCCTTTTTTCACCGCACTATTGGCTAGGCCCATCCTGAAAGCAACCATCTGGCCATGAAAGAAACTCAAAGAACCTCAGAAATCTCACATCACTCAACAGCCAGCAGATGGATAGTAACCTGCCCATAGGACTATTCCCTCCAGGTGCCTAATAGTCAAAAACCATCTTGAAGCACCTTTTCCACATTGTTTTTAGCACACATTATTGTGACTTCAGGTGCTCGTTTTGCTCATATAAGAGCAGAATCCACTTTTACTTTAAAGACCAGACAACCCGGGGTGTAATGAGTTTCACACCCTTATTGCTTGTTGCATGAGAGAAGTAGCATGTCAGAAGCTGACTGAGGTGCATTGGGTTAAAAAGAAGTTGTATTAGTTGTTTCCAAAAAAAGATACAGGGAGTGTGGAGGGAAAGGGCTTCACAGCTGTGCCTTGAAATTAACTTTGGAAAAGAGAAAGACACCTGAGTGTGCTAACTAACTTGTAAAGCAGCACACAATCCTGGAGGCTGTAGCCATTCTGCACTGAGTCCTCCTAGGCCTTCAAAGAAGGGTCTTGGGAAGTCCATATCATTGCTCTTGCACTGACAGCTACTCCTCCGACCAAAAGGAGACAGGGACTTGAGTCGTCTCAATCTGTCCCCTGGGGTGGCTGCTATGATGTCACCGGTGTTACAATTTTACACAAGATTAGGCATGTAATCGCGTGCTAAATAGTGACTGTTAGCTTAGATTGCCCAGCTAACGAAGCAGGCAGCATTAATGACATCACATATGGACTGCTCCAAGGCACTGGCATTGTGAGAGACTCTGAAATCGCTCTAACTTTGGGGGGAAGAAAGATACCCCTTTTGCTCCTCTTGCATCTCCTTGCTGGGGCAGAACCTCTCCAGTCCTGGTGCTGCCCCTCTGGTGCTTCGGGGATTTGCTCTGGAGTTCATGACTCTGCTTTGCAGACTCAAACAGGCAGCAGATGCTGCTGATCACTCTAATACGTGCTCAGGTTTACAGACTTGTTTCAGGCAAAAGGCCCTGAGGACTTCATGTCCAGTGACGATTTTCCACCCCAAAATACTACCATAAAAATTGGATGTTCCTATTATGTTTTCTTAAATTATCGATTATATTTTGTTGATGGTGTTGGTTTGCAATGCTGAGTATATCTAAGCCCAGTTAGCTAGGATTAGATCTTATCAGAGTGTCTAAGAAGATCTGCCATTTCTTACCTCAGCCATCTCCATTGCTTTACATATCACTCTGAGTTAATAAAAGATCCATCTCCAGAGCTCACCAAGCACGGCCACAGGGGACTTGGCACGATGGACATGATGTGGTCTGTTGCTGCATTTGCAATGTGCAGTGACAGCAATTATCCCTCTTCCCCCAGGTCCTTCCATCGTCCCACTGCAGCGAGCAAACCCAACACTGGGCAACCCTCTAAGATGTTTATTTGGACCAGTGGCCGGAGCTCTACATCTTACAGACATGATGAGAAAAGGTAAATGGCATCGCTGCTGATTGTCTCTTATGGGTTTTCAATTTTGGGGAGGATGACCTGCAGCCTCTCTTCCCTGGCAGCACTGGGAGAGGGATGCAAGGGGTGTCCCCCCTTGCCTCTCACTCCTCCCAGGTATTGCTCCACTGAGAACAGGACCAGCTGGCAATGTCAGGGCTAAGGTGCCAAGCCAATGAAGAGTGGAGGGATGATGCTAGAGGCATGGCCAATGTCTTCCCTGCCCCCAGGACAGTAGCAGCACGCAGGGAGCAGCTCTGAGGCTGGCACACGCTGCACGTTGTCCAGCACACCAATCCCCAGCATCAAGCGGGCAGCCCCAAGCCTGGCAAGGACTTTATGCCCCCTGCAGGTGCCAATTCCAGGCACGGGCAGTCGCCCATGCTCACCTCTTCAGAAGCTCTCGCACTCGGTACAACTTTCCTGCTTCTGGATGACGCACCCGGCTGCCGGAGATGTTTTCTGCTTATTTGCGTGTGTGTGAGCGTGCGTGCGTGCATTACATCCTGCAGTAGCTGGCTGATGACAAGCAGCATGAAAGTGAGCTGATTACTGTGCTGCCAGCCCACTTCAGTGGCGTTGCTGGAGGGAAAAAGCTGGAGGAGGCCGAGGAATAATGTGAATCACTGGATCTCCCAAGGGAGCAAGGAGTCACACAGAAGAGAAGGAAAGGGGAGGAGTGGTTTTAGGTCCAAAGACAAAGACAGGATTCAGCTGGGAATGAGTGAAGTTAAATATCACTGATGAAAGAACAATTGCCTGTAATGCCCATACTATCCTTCCAAAATCTCTCTCCTTCATAATGAGATTTGCTGGACAGCTTGCCTTGTCACAACTGGACACATTTCCCTTTCTTTTCTTCTCCTTCCTCCTACTCCCCCTTGCCTCCTCTCCTCACGTCCCCTTCCAGTCATTCTTAAATGTAATCACCAAAAATCAGACTGCAGTGAAACAAAAACAGAGGTCAATGCATCTACAGGGCCAATTAGCAAACACGCTCCTCAGTCACTCTAATGAGACATTACTGCTGGCATCTGCTGGGGAAAATGAGCTTGTGAGTTCAGGCACTGGAGCTGCCCTCAGGATGCTGAGTTTCTTTGGAGAATTGGCCCCTTTGCTGAACTCTTCTGAAAGAGGCTACAAAGGTGTTTTGCTCTTTTGATCTCACCCCAAACAGATATTTCGAAGAACAAAGGTCAGCCTGGCAGCAGGTTTCCATGGTCTTTCAGTTGGAGCTGGTTATCCATCTGTCTGTTGTACTTCTGCAAGCCCCCTCTTTAACTGAGTTTTCCCCAGGCAAATGTTCTCCAGTGTTACACTGTCCTGGAGTGGATGGTCCAAGCGTAAGGATGGTTGAGGTTGGAAGGGACCTCTAGAGATCATCTAGTCCAACACCCCTGCAGGATACACCTACCCACATGTTGAGCTGCCTGGGAGCCACATGCCCCTGATTTTCATGGCCTGAAGCTCATACTATGCCTTTGAACAGGGCTTATTAGTTTGGGCTGAACACTGTGCTAAGCAGGACTCGCTGACTTCTGGTCAGCTTAAACCCTGGGCAGAGCTTGTCCCTGCCTGCCAGTAGAAATAGAGAAGTAGGGAGCAGTATCTTAGTCCTTACCCACTGGCCTGGTAATTTCAGCTGCTTTTTCAAGCAATTGCTTGGCCTTATTTGCCAGGCCACCCTGCAGAACTATGCAGGAGGCTTGTTCATAGCCTGCAAGGGACAAATAAAATGCAGGAGCAAATGGAAGGAATAGAATATGGAAATAGGAACGTGCTGACGGCAGCCCAAGGGCTGCAAAGAAGAGGTGTTAACACAGAACAAGTGTTGCTGGCGGGAGGAACTCATCTGCCAGCAGTTGGCAGTGGCTTTAACACGTGTAAGGTCACCAACATAATCACCATGTCTAACAGGCAGTGCATTTTAGAGAAATAACTTCCCCTGGATGACCCTTCCCTAGGAACTGCTGTTGTTTAATCTCCAGACAGGAAGACTGTTCCTGACTCTTCTCCTAACATATCCCACAGCTGCAGACTTTTGAAGGGTCACACTGGAATAACACCCAGAGAAATGTCACTTGTGTGGAGGTATCCCCTCCTCCTGGGCCAAAGGTGGTTCACAGGCAGGTGTTTTTGCAGTACTGAGGCCAAAGCCATGCATTTCATGGGCTTCTTTTTTAGACACGTGTTGCTCCCCAGCTGCCACTTTCTAGGATTTGGAAAGCTAGTTCAGCCACTTCTCTTTCTCAGCTGTCAGTTATGTTTTTCACAATGTTGCAGCCTCGGAAAGCTAAAGCACTGGTTTGGTTTGATTCATTTCAGCCCAATTTGTTGGGAAAAAGGGAAGGAATCAAGTGAATTCGTTTTCTCTCATCTATTCTTATTGATAGGAATCCTGCTACAACATCACTGAGATTAGTATGAGAGTTCTAGAAGTTTTCTTGTTGTTACAGTTCTAATGACAAAAAATAATGCAACTAAATATACCCTGTTAAGCAACATATATATATACAAAAAGGTCCCTGAACATGGAGAATTTTGCAGGTAATTTCCAGTGTTTTCTGACCTTTGCTTTCAAGGATTGTAATAGCAGCAGACAACTTGGCATGAGGCAATTTGAGTGACATCTGCATGATACCTCGATATCAGAGAACTAAATACGAATTCAAAGTCACTGAGGACAACTCACGCAGTCACGTATTCCCACTTGATCATCCCCATGCCCATGGAGCGCCAGAAGACACAGCATCTCCCTCAGATCAATTCCATGGTTCATTTGCGAAGGACAGAATTTGAGAATGGGTGTTTTGAGTTTATTAAAAAAAAAAAAAAGTAGTGCTTCCAGATACCTGGTTATTATAGATTCCAGGGAGGAAACCGGATTTCTTTTGCAGTGTTCCCAGATCCACACATTTTGGAGTGAAACAGGAACTGTTGTATGGGTCAGAGAAAGCATTTCTTTAGCTCTTCCTCTCTATACGACAGTTCTTCATTCTAAACGCTTGACATATAGGACCATTGCTAACATATGCCTATAAATTTGTCACATCTCTGGCATTGTGGAGCTGTCTCACCCCATGCTGGAGGTCCACAGAGTGCATAGGATGCATGTGACAAGCCTCTTCCTGCATAATAACCCAATACTAAGAGGTCACATCCCTCATAATGGCAAAGAAACAGCTCCTTTATTGCAGCATATATGCCCAGGTTTCTTTATTAAGGCCATCAGTCTCCAAAGAGCGCTGACCTTGACTGTCTGATGTTCAAGCTGACTAAACATATTCTGGGCTGCTTATTTCCATCACACAGGTTCTCCCTACACTTTCATCTGCAGATCACGTAAGTGACTTCATTGCAGAGGGATCCTGGCAAAGCTGTTGTGTGGAGAGAGGCAGAGAGGGGGATTTGTGCTCTGTCCCAAGGCACAGTTGTGGCCAAGATTTCCTCTCCACACAGCTGTGCAGATAAAGCAGTCAACCCATATCCTGCGAGCAACCTGGCAAAAGGAAGCTGGAGAAAAAGTTTAGGAAAGATCAGGAGAACAAAGACCTCTTTGCCCTTAGAGGCTTAATTTCTGGCACCTGGAACTTCTTTAAAAACAAACCATGTCATATTTGGGGAGTGATCATCTGTAGTCACAATTACTAGGCAGAATTGCTGAGATGAGTAATGTCGGGATGCAGTGATCTGTGCTCATACACAGCTAATTGTGGCTGTGCAGCCCAGGGACCAAAAATCAGCTGGCTAAGCACAGTGCTCTTACAGCCCAGTGAGCAGAAAGAGGTCCCTTGGCTGGGCCAAAAGTTCACGTGTATGCGAAATCCCACCCCGCGGAGCGGTCACCCCTTCGTGGAGCCACACTGCAGGTCGCAGGAAAGACAAATGTTCCCCTAAAATGACTTCACCGCTCCAGCTAAGATGATGCTGAGGCTATTCTGCTAGGTGGAAGATACTCGACACAAAGGTGCATGTGCCACATGGTGTGCCCGAAGCCAGGGCTCCCTGAGGCTAAGCATGAAGATGGGTAATGGTAGAAGTTCCTGGTCTCAGCAGCAACAAGCTGCCACCTCCTACGGCGAGGACACAGCGTGGGGAGGATGAGGGACGTTACTCAGCCTGTCTCCTGAGGCTGCTTGGAGGCTGGGCCTTCACTTGGGACACTTGGGACTTCAGCACGTGCCCATGCCGCCACACAGCTCGGCACATGGCACCAGATCAGCTTTTTGCAAGGATTCAGAAGGAAAGCCCTTACCAAAGTGCATGGGACTGCCACTGTGCTGCCATTTAAGGCTTTTAATAGCAAATATCGGCAACAGAGCAACCAAACAACTGCTCCTAGTATGACCCCACAGGCAGAGTTTGATTTAGCTTTATTTACCGGGGCCAGAGCACCCGTGGGACACCCTTGGCACACCGTCTGTGCAGGTTTGTTTGCCAGGCCCTGCCAGACAGATCTACAACATACCCTTCACTCCATCTCTTTTACCTCTCACTGCACATTCCTTGGCTCAAGGCCATGTAGGAGGTATCTGTAACCACTTTCAATTAGCTATTTGTTTTTAAATTGTCCGTTTGTATCACTTTTACGTTCTAGCTGCTCTGGTGACATTAATGACTGATTGCACTGTGTCTGTTTTATGTCTGCATGCTGACATAAGTTATGCTGTGTGATCGGTTAATGTTCTGGAACTGCATGACAATTTCTGCCTTCCTGCCTGCTTCCATTTGGGAGCAATGCAAATCGAAACAGCAGCTCTCAGAGTTAAATACAGTTTGATAAATAGTAATAGAAAACTAACATTAGATTATTATTCTACATCACTCTTTCGAAGGCAATGGAATCCACCAGTTCACAGCATATTCTTCTCTCTAGCACCAGGGAAAATTTCAGCAGCCTGAATTACCCTTTCATTTCTAGCTAGGAAAATACTGACAAGCTTTAATGGATGATTTTGAAGAGAAACCATGAACACCTAAAGTATAACACAGTAGGTTGAAGAAACTTCAGTGGTTCTTAGTTATGGGAGACTATCTGCTTTAGTATAATCTAGGATTTTTTTTTCTGCTATAAAACCCCACACCATATGTGCTTTTCCTGGCTATGACTCATTCATCTAAACCCAAACTCAATTTAGGTTTCAAGGATTTCATTTCTTTCTTGTGTTAATTTACGGTTTTACATCTCTTTCAATGCTGACCATATCTTTGTCCCTGTTGGTGAATGCAAGCTATGCGCTTGGTCTATCACACACTGCTTTTTACAAGGATGAGTGAAACTTGGTGGTTTCAGCTTAAATGAGTGGTGGGTTTGCTAGAACCCAAAGTGATGTTGATGTTGCTCACCTGCCGTTTTGCAGACAGTAGAAGAGGAACTTCTTCCACGTGTACTGCTATGACCATGTTATGGTGGTGCCAGGGCTCAGATGTGCGGTTCACATGCTTCGGGTGCTGTCTGGATGATTCAAAAGAACCGTAACAGAAAACACAGGAGATTTTGACCAGCCTCAGGTCTGTAAGTACATTTTAAACCCACAAAGTTTGAGTGTGTTTGAAATGTACTCAAATATTTCCTTCTTCTTCACCATTGTGTCCTCATGACCCATTGAATCATCAAAGACCTGGAGATGAAAGAAAGACTTATGGTTAGAAAATGGAAAGGACTCTCTGCTGAAGGGGAATGGTTTGTTGTTTCTTCTTTTTAAAATCCTGGAACAAATTGCTCTGGTGGATAATTTTCTGTGAGGGTTTTCACTGTGATGAGCAAAGGGGTTTCCAGAAAGCTACTTTTTAATACAGTAAATAAGCTCCCAATCAAAAACCCACAGAAATCAATTGCAAAATCCCCCCTGTCTTTCATGAACTTGAATCATGCTCAGGGTGGGAAATTATCCAAATCACCAACCTATAGGGAATCAAGAAAGAATGTGGTCCTTTCAGATAATTTTTGTCACTTCTTCAGGCTTTTTTCTACATTAACTATTGCCAAGTCTTAACTTGAGTATAAAAATTTTACACTACAATAAGTCCATCTGCCATATTCGGCTTAAAAAAAGACACCTCTTATATCTAAAGATATTCTAGTGGCATAAGCCAGAATTGACAGGTCAAATTCATCTATGGTATAATTCTACCGAGCCAATGAAGCTGCACCAAAGAAGGATTTACTGAGCTGGCACAAGTGTCTAATGTTTATATTTGCAATAAGAGGTTTTTACCTTTTCAGAAATGGCTGTAATTTATTTTGGAGATGAATAAATTTCCACCAGGTCAGGACAACTGAGGACCCTTAAGCCTTTCTCTCCCACGAGATGGGTATGGAGGTGGAACTACCCACCCTTTAGAGGGTTCATTGCTTAAATATGAACTTCACATAAGAATGTATTATTTTCAACCTCAGAAATATTTACCAAAAAATCAGGGATCACGATCTACTGGACAAAAGGAAAACAGTCACAGCCCTAAAAGCCGGAGAAGACCGGGCCATACTCCTCGGGCTGGCCATGATGGTGTGCTCTATCATGATGTACTTCCTCCTGGGAATCACCCTGCTACGATCTTACATGCAAAGGTAATTTCATCATGGTCACTCTCACCTCAAACTATCTGCTCCAGTTGACTTCTTCTGCCTATCCCTTTTGCTCTTTCCATTAAAGTTTTGTAATCTTCCACTTGGTCAGTGAAGACCTGATGCTGCAATTCCTTATCTGAGTATAAGTTAGGCATAACTATACTATTGAGCAATACTGGCATAAATGAAAACAAATTAGATCCTTCGCTTGAAAAATAAAAACATTTTAGGTTTGCCATAGTTTAATACAAGCTTAATTATAGCACAGGGGTAGCAAAAAGCTTTGGATACTTGTGTGTGCTTTCTATCACGCAGCCTGGGTTGCTATAAGCTCCTGGTTCAGCTGGTGTGCTGGACCTGTAAGCCTCTTGGATTTTGGTGTTTGTCTGTTGCTGTGAAACTCAAGCAAATTCAGGAGAGACCAGCAAAAATATTTAGCAGCCTTGAGAATCAATGCACTTTCAAATGAAAAATGGAGATTCAGTTTTGGAAATAATTCAATCTGCTTTCTAGCATATAGCTTTCCATGTGGGTTGATAGTTTCGTTCTAGCAAGTGAAATCCTACAAAAATAAAGTCATTTGCTGAAAGTGATAGATCATCTTTCATTATTATTGTGCTGCACTTTTAATTTTTCTGAGCTCTTCTCCAGCTTCATTATTAAGGAGCAGAAAGTTTGGCTGGTGACTCATTAGCAGTATTTGAAGGCAACTTTCAAGCACGAGCCCTATTTAAAATCTACCCCAGACTGTAATAAGAATGTCAACAATGTTTTTTTCTGTCCTGGTCAGTCTGATCAGTAAAGCTAAGGGAATGAAAAATGGGTAATTGTGAATCAAAATATTAGTCTGTCATGCCCCAAATCATACTCTGGTAGTGGTCCATACATGGCATGTTTGGCTTATCCACCTTATCTTCTTATGGAGGCATATATGGCAAGTGCCTAAAATTAAGTAGTATGAATATCCTCAACTGTGTCATTGGTCCAGGAAAATAGTCCTTCTTAACCCTGAAATGAACAGGAAAAGCCATGATGCATGAGGATCATTTGTCTTGATTTTTCAGCATCTTATTTATGTGACAAAAGTATTTAATCCCTTTTTAAAATGCAGGCAGCATTTTGATTTTGAAGACAAAGATCGGGTCCAGTTAGATATCTACATCTATGTACATTTCCAGATTGCTTCTCCAGACCCCTTAGCAACACTAGGGTCAAGTGCAGAGGCTTTTAAGGTCAAAATTGCTCATTTGAAAAGATCATTTATACTATAAGCTATGTGAAAGGTAGGTCAAAGATATGGAAACACCTATAAGGTGTCAAATATTCTAGCTTCCTACATGTCTGTTGTAGGTAGGTGTTAACCTGTTACCTTCATACATTAATAAAACAGCAGTCGGAAAGGTAAAATTGAAGAAATGTGGAAGAAAGTGTAGGAATTCTTGCTGTGACTCCTGACAGAGCCAGGACATTCACAGCCAGATATCTTTGGGGGTCACTGTCCCTGTGCATAGACAAACAAACAAAATACTGCCTGGGAGTCAAAAAAAAAAAAAGGTCCTTTTGCTTGATTTCCTCCCAGAAATTATAGCATAATTTAATAAAAATGCAAAATGCAATAAACAAGCTTAATTACTGCCAAAATGAAATGCCAGGAGAATTAGTCAGAAACCTTTGATATTGCTTACCATCTAAAGCTCATGGTGGGCTTTGCTCCCCAGCAAACCCTCAACCTCAGCCTTCCACGTTCATCCAGCTCCCAGCGAGGCTCTCGGGGGCAGTAAGAGCAGCAGGACGGTCTGCTGAGACCTGGGGCAAGAGGGGTGCAGGGCATCCGGCTCCCTGTGCCCCAGGGAAGGGCCAAGAGGGGACCCGGGGTGTGAAGCCTCTCCCCAAGCTCAAACAGGGCATGGAGGTATCCGGGTGCCCTTCTTGTGGCTCCCGTCCCCGCTAGAGCTTTTGGAAAATGAACAAGTAATCCAAGTGAATGTTGTCAGGACATACCTGGGCTCAGTCATCATCAGTTTTGACTTCTGATGAGTGCGAGATCAGGTAAAATGCTCCAGGATGGTTACATCAGTTGATTGAGCTTATTGAAAACCCAGTGAGCTGCCACTAGAAAACACCTTTCCACAGTTAGGTTTGCATGCAGTATTGCTCATATACGGGTGCGTAGCTACATATTTGAATATGTGTGCACTGGTAATGCAAAGTTGTCCTCAAAACCTCCTTTCTGAGGTGAACTGGACTTTGCAGTCAGCTGTCAAGTCTTGGTTCAAGACGCCCCATTATGGCATGCCATGTGCTTTGCACTCCCCAGGGCATGCTGCTCTGTTTTCTTCTGTTTAATCTCAAATATTCCTCCAAACTAGAAGATCCAGTCCCCTTTTCATGGATAATGTATGTAAATGATGTATTTTTATGCTGAAGACACAAACTTCAAGTACTATGCCATAGAACACCCATGTGTCTTATACTAAGAGCCCAGCTGCTGCTGCAAAGCCCAGCAGAACATACACTCTCCTGCAAGGTGCCATGGGCATATCCCTGATAGAAGCCCTGGGCTGCAGCTTGTGCTCATTGCCCATTCCTGCCATGCTCTAACACCTCCTTCTTTTTTCTACTTAGTGTCTGGACAGAGGAGGCTCAGTGCACGCTTCTCAACGCATCCATCACAGAAACCTTCAACTGCTCCTTTAGCTGCGGTCCAGACTGCTGGAAAATCTCACAGTACCCCTGCCTCCAGGTGTACGTCAATCTCACCTCTTCTGGCCAAAAGCTCCTGCTCTACCACAACGAAGAGACGATGAAAACCAATTCTGAGGTAGGAGCACAGGGACAAAATTTCCATCTCCTCCCCCTTCGCTGGTAAGGGATGTTTTATGGACGCACACGAGTGCTGAGTCCTCATCACACATATATTCCAGGGGAGCTGCAGACAAGTCACTTCCCATTCGGTATGGCTCTGCAGTATATCTTAACCCCTCCAGCGATGTACGTGGAGTGTCTGTAGTGGGGAGAATAGAAATGGCCTTATTATTGTGGGGCTGGGAGGGACAGAAATCCCCATGTCTAAAGCGGACGTGTCGCCGTCACTGGTGACAAAGCTGGTGGCCAGTCTAGCTCCAGCTCCAGCACCAGGATCAGGCCACACAATTTATCCCTATGGAGGGCACAAAGATGCTGCGAGTCTGCCGGTGAGAGACTGTCAAAATAAAAGGAGCAGCATAAAAACGAAAGGCAGTTTCTGAGCTTATACAAATTAAGGAGTCAGACAATCTTTCTTGCATGATTTCTCTGGTACCAGACATGGCAATAAAAATTATTTTTAACAAATCTCCATAAAAAAAAACATCCTCTCTCTGCTTCAGCAAGTGTAAAATGCGACGTAACTCGATCCAGGTGGGACCGAGGCAGCTCATGTCTGGAGGCTGTGACGAGCGGCGCGGTGCACAGAAGGCGCCGCTTCCTCCAGCCTGCAGGCGCAGCTGTGCGGGTGACGCAGTGCCGCGTGCAGCACAGCCGCCGCGAGCCGCCGACTGTTGGCGGGTGGCTGCTCCCCGCCTTCTGCGCGGCAGGACACTGAGGACCAGGCTGCAAAATGTCCCTCTCCCCTAGTCCTCCTCTTTGCGCTTGCAGCGCCGGGGTGCAAATGCTGCAGCTTCTCCAAATCGAGCAGATTTCCACCCGCCAGATCTGCATTAACTACAGAGTGCTCCAAGGTCGTCACTGAACCCCAAACCACAGGCACCAGCAACGTGCAGCCCCGGCTGCTGACAGCGTAACCTGTCGTGTTGCTATTTATGGGAGCAGCTCAGCAGACCCAATTGCTTCTGCATATTAAGATGAAGTGATATTAAAATTAGTCAAAGCACTGAGCGGTTTCACTGGGCCAGTTATTCTGCTGGATAATTAACTCCTGTGGCTGGTGCACAAAGTCCTCCGGAGCCCAACTGTGAAACCCCGAGCAGTGTCCTCGCATCCCCTGCGAGACTGGGGCTGGTGCAGAAAGGAGATGCTCAGCCTCAGCCGCTGCAGTCCCCCAGCAGCACAAACTTAACTTGCTACCAGTTCAGAAGCAAAATCCAGAAACACACCTGCCCCACTTTGATTAAAACAGAGCGGGTCCGTCCCCATCCTCTGGTGGATTCAAACAAATCAAAAGATTCAGCCTGAATCTCCAAACTCCATTCCCAATGGTTTTTGTTGCTGAAATCAACTCTGAAATTCTCCCTGGCACAGTCTCCTCTTAATTTAATGTAGGCACAGCTAATCCTCCTCCAGCCCAAGGTTGCTTTGCAGGTTAAGCACTGCTCTCTGGAGGGTTCCTAGGTTTTCCTGATGTGCTGCTGCCTATGTGCTCTGCATCCAAATGCAGTTTCAAAGGGAGCTTGGCCCCTGATTGAAATGTCTATAAAATACCTAGTTTCTCACGCCTGGTTGGAATTAGCAGAGACTCCAAACAAGCCTCGGCTCTCTGCTTGGGAGGCTCTATCCTCCTCACGGCTCCTCAACAATATTTTCCATGAATATCCAGGCAGTGAAGTCAGGGACCACCTCAGTTAACCTGTCATCACTAGTCCCACTGCTTCCTTCCTCCATTTGTCATCAGTCTCTGATTAGAAACTAAAATATTGCTCCCAGACATCAGTGAAGACCCCAACTGAGAGTTGGCTCCAGTCGGAGGTCTTCATTTCTTACCTCTCTGCACAGGGAAAATGAAAAAAGAAAGAAAAAAAAAAAGCAACCAGCATAGCCTGTGTTGTTGAGCCCTCACACTCCTGGCAATGCTGCAGAGAGTGGCCAGCACAAAAGACCTTCAAACAGGCAGCATAACCCTGCCAACCTTTCCAGCTCGCGGCTGCTCACCCTGCGTGCGGAGCAGCGCCCGCAGCCCGTCCCTCTCCCCTTCTTGTCGCCAGCTCAGGTTGAGAGAAATGCACTTTGATTTCAAATAACGATTAATCCAGAAAACCGCTCTCTAAACTAAAGCTTTCTTCCCAAAAGGGCAGGTAACGAGCAGGTGAGCTTTATGTTGACATGTGCAGTGCGCTGCTGTCAGTCTCCAGCCTGAATCAATGGGGAGTAAGTGGATGCCAGTCAAGCTGCTTGAATCTTTCCCAGAAAAGCACGCAAGATTTTCCATGCCTCTTTGTTGCTCTCACTGTGCATATTTTATCTGTAGCCTTTAAGACAAGCACAGCCCCTTGTCAACGCTACAGTCACAGCAGCGTAAATGCTTTCACTGCTGCACTTCCAGTTCTCAGCTGTCACGGGCTGTAACAGCCACCAGGGAAAGTAGATGGGACCCGTGTTCCCTTGCTCGGAGACCACAGAGCCAGTTTGTCATGCCGAGGAAGGGCTGCAGTATTTAAAGCAGTTGTCAAGTGCTTGTTCTGATCCCATCCTACATCACTTTGATTCTTTACATGTCATTGAGGTTACTGCTGATTTATGCCCATGCTCCGTAAGTATGATAACAAGCAGGCTTTAATCACCAAAGTCACTGTTATGCCAGCTATAACTGCCTGATAGTCAGAAATGATGGTGGCATCTCATGGTTTGGTGAACTGAAAGTTCAGGTATTTATAAGCCCAAGAGGAGTTTGTCTAGTGCAGATGGAGCAGCACAGTTCGGCTGCAATTCTCAGCAGACCCATTTCTGCACTGGGGTTGCAAGATTCAGTCTGTAAAAAGAAATACTGGACCAAAGGCAGGCACAAAACTCCTCCTTCAGCCCTTAATCCAACCTGCCTCACTTCTTGAGAAGAAATGCAAAGCGAGGTCCTGGCCGCTTTCTCATCAAGACTACCACAGCATGTATTAAAAGTACAAAGGAGGTGTTTCCAATCCCAGCTTCCAAGCTGTGCATGACAGTGACAAACACCCCAAGCACAGGAAGAGAATGAGCAGTAGTGTACCACCTCTCGGCCTGAATTAGGAGCTTCTCCGTCAATAATGTTGTCAGTGTAACTTCAGTGACTTAATGAAGCTGCTTCCAGTTTGTCCAGAGATGTGGGATCTCCATCCTTATAAAATGGACATCTTGTAGCATAAGAACAATATAGAGAGATGATTCCCTGCCATATATTGACGTAAGCTAAATGAAGATCAAACCAAAGAAAACACTCAGAACATCTCGTTGCTGGTGTCTACCATCTCCTCTGCCAATGACCTACCCAGCACAACAGATGTCAGCCAAAGCAAAGCCAGCATGGTGTCATCCTCCAGCTCTCACTACAAAAGCCAGGTCCTGGAAGGAGGCCACCAGCCTCCTCCAGTCAACCTCATGACCACAGCCTAACAGGCACAGGCGCTTCAGGAATGTGTCCTTGCATCAAGGATGAGGAAACTCTCAGAGCCATGAACAGCCACGAGTTCAGAAGAATAGGATGAGGTAATTAAGACATGGGGTAAAGAGGACCCAGGTCTTACAGACAGGATAAAAGCCCATAGTGTGAGGAGAAATGTTTTCAGCACCAGGAGCCTGGCTCACTGATCAGGTATATAAAACTCCTTTGCGCAATTACCTTTAACAGCTTATGTTTCTTTAAAACCTGGTCACCACTCACAGGCTGGCTAGCCTGATGTAGCTGGAGTCTCGAGCACTATCAACGGATCCCAGTTCAAGTCCTGCTTGGACTTTGGGTCTCCTGAGAGTATGTTCGGAAAACAGTCAGACTTGCAGGAAGTCAGACCTTTCCAGTGCCTCTTGGGATGCTTCCAGGCTTGGAGTCCAGGAGTCTGTCATCATTTGGGCTTTTATGTGCCTCCAGTTTTCTGTTGTTGGAGAAATAGGGGTTGAACTTCAGCAAAGATTGACGAAGTCCTTATTTAATCTCCTCATTCAGGTGTGTCACAGTTGGGATTTCAAGGAACAAAAATGTATAATACCAAACTTGCAAAGGAGAAAAAATCTGAACTGGAAACACCGTGGCTAGGACAATGACAGTGTATAATTTATTAAAATATATCGAAGTACAGCCTCACTGAAAACTTCTCCCAGCTTATTAGATTATGATATATTAAAGAGTAGTAGGGATGGGAGGAAGGCTTGTGGTTTCAGACACTGAAGGCAAAACTGGGCAGAATAGCCTGGAAGGGGATGGATGAGATACAACATCTCTAATTTCTAGAGCTCTATGAAATATTCATAATGGAAGTGCTCACATGCTCTACCCTTAATGCTACAATCTGCTAATGCCAGACAGTATCTCTGCTGCACTTCAAATCATATTCCCAGCTAATAAACTTGCCAATGGATCAATCAAATCCTGTTATGAGGTTAATCCTGTGATCATTATTAGGGCTAGAGATTTGTTGCAGTGCATTGTGAAAAGTCACGGCATGGTCATGAAAAAGAACTGAGGGACATTTATAGAGTTTTTACATTGAAACAATAATAATCAGAAGCCATGAGTCACATTATTTTAATCAAGAAGTCATTTTTTCCTTTGTAAAACTTGCTTTCTCTCATTAAATTATCTCAAGCTATTTTAGCAGCTCACCAGCAGCAGCACGTTCAGTCATGGTAGTGTAGCGGGGCCCTTTGAGGAACCCGTCACTGCAGGGGAGTGCTGATCTCCCTGCTCCCTCTGTGCTCAAGGAGAAGTCACCCAACAGATTTCTCCGCTGTCCTTAAGCTGTTCTTGCATATGTATGGAATTAAATCAAAATCCGCTTTTGGATTCATCCAAAAAGCATGGATACTTTCAGAGATGGTGGTGGTGTGGTCAAAGAGAAGACGAAGAGCCATCCAAATAGCCAGGCTGATCTTCAACTAGAGGTGTTTTTGTCTCAGACTTCCTACATGACCCTAATTGAGACATTCCTCTCAAAAGAAAATTTGTATAAAAGTCTCTGCTTGTCCTTCCTCTCTCCAAGTGAACTCTTTTGCCCAATATGATCATTTTGATCATTTGCAAGTGAGATCTGAGCTACCAGATTCATATTTACAGACAGGCAATTACCCATCTAAATGCGAAAATATGCATGGCACTTCAGATGAAGAGGTACTTCATCAGTTCCATTTTTCTCATGTGTAAATTAGCAGTAATAATATATTCACCTATCTCACGAGGCTGCTCCACAGATCAAAGCATTAATGTTTGTACAGCACTTGGAGACTCTCCAATGAGAAATTCTGTAGATGTGCAAAATATTGAGTTTTGTCTGTGATAAATTTATTATTAGCTTAATAGTATTGCACTCTTATTATGAAAGCCATAATCATCTTGAGATGCTTACCACCTGAAAACAGACATTGTATCTGGTTTGAAGATTCATTTTTTCCCTCTGGTTTCTTCCCAGTGCTCCTATATACCCAAGTGCGGCAAGAACTACGAAGAATCCATGTCACTCGTGAACGTCGTCATGGAAAACTTCAGAAAGTACCAACGTTTCTCCTGCTTTTACGACCCCGAAGGCGTTCAGAAGAACGTGATATTAACTAAACTGTACAGCTCCAACGTGCTGTTCCACTCGCTCTTCTGGCCCACCTGCATGATGATCGGTGGGGTCGCCATCGTCGCTATGGTAAAGCTGACTCAATACCTTTCCCTCCTCTGCGAGAGAATCCAAAGGATCAACAGATAAAAGCAAAGACTTCTCCGAGATGTATTTACAGCTAAAATACTGTTTTCTCATTCTTCACCAAAGAACCTTAAGTTTGTAATGTGCAAGTCTGTTCTAACTTCCTTACTATATTCTTATAAGTAGAGCAATAATGCAACAGCTGTTCTATATGCAAACATGATGTTATTATTATGCAGACAACTGAAAAAAGAAACCTACTGTTTTGTGTTGACCGTCTGTATGATGTTGTTTTATGCTGAGAATAGTCCTTCTTTCTTTTCTACAGCCAACATAGGGCTCAGTGTGACCATTTGCCAAGCTTAGTCAATGAATACATTGACATTTTCAGTGTAAAGGATTCTGGGGAAAACTCACCCTTGGACAAAGGGCAGCAAATGACTTGTGTATCGCTTAGGTCTCACATCTGACACAGTCCACGCAATAGCTCTGTGGTTTTGTTTTTATTATTACTACTGGCTGCAGGGAATAAAAGCATAGAACTGGTGGTTGTGAGCAGAGGGCACAGAATAGACCTATTTTGAGGGCAGCGTAAGCAGTAACAGTATTTTCAGCCTAAGCAGGACTTGGAGATGCTTTGTGTTAGCTTCTCCAAATCTATTTTACCCTATGGTCTTTAAGGTCTTTTGTTAAACACTTTTATTTTATTTAGCGCTACATTTTTCTTGTCTTATCAGCATCATCTTTGTTACTTACAGAAGCTGTAGCCAAAAAGCAAAAACCATGTTGTTCCATTTTCTACTCCAATCTGAGCCCTATTGATGGAGATGGGACCAGAACACCTTATGTAAATGTTTATTACTCATTTGTCTTGTATTTGCTACCATATCACTGTAATGAAAAGAATAACACAATCAGCTATTTTTTCATTTTTTACTTCCAACTATTTTAGATTTTTTTACTTGATATATATACAAATATATATATATAAAGATAAAGCTATATTATATCTAGTTGTGTACTGGGACTTGATTATGGGTTTTTTCCTTTGTTTGTTTTTACCAACTGGAAAGTGAGCAGTATAACTCATGTATTTATAACCTTCAGCCTTGGATAATATCATAACATGGAGGAGCAGCACTGCAGGATCCTATCCAATATTCATGATGTTGTTTCAGTCAAAAGTCTCTATTGCTGTGACATCTGAATGGACAAAATCACATCCAATTTTATAGGTCTATTACCTGAACTGTTACATAATAATCATAATACTTCTGGAAATCAATCCTGACCTTAACCCAGTAAGCAGTGCTGGCTGAAGTGAATTTTTGATTTAAAAGGCCCAGGTACAATGAGTTATTGGAAAAACTCCAGGAATTCAGACGAATATGTTGTCCTATCTGTCAGATATCTACAGTGGGAATTTTCCCAGCAAAATTCCATGAACGCTATAGTCACTAATTTATTTATATTCCCTTTTTCAAACGTTTTCTCTTTTGTTATATTTTAAAGGTACCTCTCATAATTTCTTACTTTGGATTTAGCCTCAAGGACAAATGTAAGGCAATCTCTTGCCCTGTGACTTCACAACTCAAGATTTCAAAGGAATTTACAGGCATATTCGAAACAAGAGGCATTTTTTTTTCCTTCAAAAGGCCCTCAAAAGAGGAAAGCAAGTATTCCGCCTAGTTCATCCATATATAAGTATCTTTCCGCAATATAGCATTAAAAATTTCAAGATGTTACAAAACTTTACAAATCATGCAAGTGTAATGTGAGCTGTAAAAACGAGTTCTCAGCAGTGAAAATGAACCTGCAATCTTGTAATCAGTAGTATAATTTTCCTTAGGTAAATAAATTCCTGGAGGGTGGGGGAATAATCAGGGCTCCAAAAATACATAATAAATATATTCAATTAAATCTTCCAGATTTCACTATCTTTTGCATTCAGATCTGCCTTGTTTCATCAGACTTTTCTTTGCAGATTGCTTTGCCAAGTGCTGATGCAACAGGGAGTTCATCCATTTTACTTGCAACGTGGCCATTCACCAATCTGCGGGATGTACAAAAGCCATCAGTGACAAATCTCCTGGTGTTGGCCAGCAAAGAGCCAACCAGTCCCCTTGGTGGTGAAGGCAGCATGGCTGGGGAAGACAGGCAGGGGCCATATTCTCCATCCCAACCCAACGCCATGGTGCTTCCATGCCGTAATAGGTAATGTAAAGCACGTTAGGATTAGTAGTGTTCAACCAGGACTCAGACATGAAGGTCTCCACATTGCTCACACTCATCGGTGTTACAAAAGCATAAGAGGTTCTGTCAAGCTGGAGGTATCAAGGTTGGACCCCCAGGGTCCCACAGACAAGATATCTTGACCCATTTCTAGGCTGGTGCAGCCTGGGAGGCTCCTAAGGTGCATTTTTGTCCTTTACCCAGGTCGGGTCCATGCTCCCAGGTGCCATCCCAAATCATCCCTCACGCACCCAACACCTCACCTTCTTCAGCACGGTCACAGAGGCTGAACGGAGGCCAGTATTGGCACAAATCAAAAACCATGCAAAATGTTGCTAACAGGGAACTTCAATAACCAAGAGGCATCTTCACAAAGTCATTGGCACCAATGTTGGCCACTGACATGACGACTGACATGGCCTGTGATGCAGCGGCTCTTTGGTTGTGCGTGTGACATTTGTGGTGCCTGTGCTGGTGCTTTTTGCTTCGAGTGACAGGAGAGCTGATTGCTCTCGACATTTACACATCGAGCTCTTTTCTACGTGTTGGGCCATAAACATTTTACCCGCGTTCCTGTGAGTGAAACATCTTGACGCCGCTGCAGTCTATAATCATTTTGTTGACATTAACAGAGAGATCTGCGGGGTAGCAAAATAACTTGAGTAATTGGATAGAGTGAGGTAAAACAATAATTTTAAAGGGAATTATCCATGTCTGCTCCATAGCAGTTAACCCCCTACTGAAGCCTCAGCATTTCAAATGTGGTTTTGACAACTCCTGCTGCCCCAGAGAGAAGACGTGTTGTAGACGAGATATTAGTCTGTGCTATTTCTTTCCCTTCCTCCATTTTAAAACTGTTTTTATCTTCTGCAAAAGGAATTGATAATCTTGCGGGCAGCTAGAGTGAATGAGAAATATTCCCCACTCCATTTGGAGAGCTTCATTAGTAAAGCTCAGTGATCAGACAAATCTACTGTAATTCAGCAATTCCAAGCCCGACTCTTCCCAGCATAAATGTTTTATCTCTTGATGTCCCAGCTGGGCAGCTGGGCTGGAAGGGGACAAGAAGCAGCCAGAAAGTGCTGTGAAACCTCTGACAAGAACAGCATGAAATGAAAATGTAGGTGCAATAGTCTGCTGTATTATGAGCCTACAGCCAGGCGCTCTGGCAGGATTTAAAGCATACATAAGTATTCCAGGTGCCAAATTCACATGGCCTTTTAATAGCTGTTATTTTCTTAATTAGATTATTTATGCCAGGTCTTATTTCTATTCTGGGACACCTAAATTTGAAAGCAAAGTGTGAACATCCTAGCTGCAATTCCCTGAAACTTGGCACCTTGCAGTGGAGCTACTAAACGTCATCAGCCAAGACAACAGAGAGCTCCGTTTGGTTTAGCTTTTCTAAATGAGAAGACATTGCTTTTATCTCACAAAATGTACCTAAAGGGCAAGCGGTGGGAGGCTGAGGTGAACACAGCAAAGAGAAACCAGGGCCTAGAAAATAACAGAGCTTCCTTATCTCAGTAAGACCTAAAATACAATAATTTCAGACTTGAGGTAGAGAAAGGGGCACGAGAGTGTCAGCTCCCCATTAGTTCCTCTGCTCACCATCTATCAAGGACTTGCTACAAAACTCACATTTCTGTTCCTCTGAGCACCCTGGATCTCATCACTGTCGAGTACTCAGATTTTGGTGTACGCAAACATTTCATGAATGCATACCAACTTTCCAAAATGTCTTTGGTTGTGGAGGAGTAGGTGAAAGGAGGGGAAACTATCAGTCATTAATATACTGGAAAAAAATATGGAAAAAAAAAAAAGATGTTTTCATTTGAACTGATGTTGGCTCCTAAAAGTCAAGTTTTAGGGCTTTTTTCCTTTTGCTTTTTTCCTCTTTTATTTTTCTTTTTTGAGGAAAGCTTGAAAAATAGACACACCAGTACCCCCTGATGTGAAACAAAACCATTGGCACTTGCTCGGTTCACTGCACGCTCCCAACGTGCCCTTTCTCCAAGGCTGACCTGTGACAGATTTCTTCTCTTCCATTTTTCTGAACTGTCAGCGAACTGCGAAATCAGTTGGTCACACAGATCCAATCACCAGCAGCCCTGGCAGGGCTCCAGCGAGGTTCGAGCGCTCGCCGTTTCCAAGAACATTGCTGGCCGTTATTATGAACAGACTAAGGTTTCTGCCTCGAAGAATATAAAACGCTGCTAAGCTGGAAGGCAGCGGGAAGGAGAAAAGGTGCATTTATCAGCTGCTATTAGCGACGTGTGGTGCAGTAATGTGTTAGATCTGCAATTTATGGCCAAGACACAACGTGCCAGGGCTGCCGCTGTCCCCAGCCTTTGCAATGCCGGCGCTCCGAGCGCAGCACAGATGCCCCTTCCCTGGAACGGAGGTACCTGCCGAGGAGGTCACTGCTCCCAGGTGCAGCTCATGGGCACACACTCCAGCACATGTCCAACAAAACCGGCTTCATAGTTTTAAACAAAAAATACTCAATTCAATGGTTATTTTCACTCTCGGGTCCGCATTTCATTTTGAGGCGGAAAAGAAAAAGTTGTTTGAATCTTGATGTCTCGAAAAGAATTAGGGACTGCTGAAACTTTTCATTACCTGCTGCTGTTCTTCAGTTTGTGCTTGGATATGTATTTACAACTTTGGGGAAGAAAACTTGAGGCCTCAGTCCCGCACAGAGCCAGCAGCCTTTCTTCATCATTACTGGTCTGATTGCTGTGCTAACAAGTCACTAATGAATCCCCTAAATCCCCAGCACACAGCGAAGGGCTCTGGCAGCTCCCGGGCTCTGAGTAGCCTAAAAGCAACTGCAAGGAAGCAGGAGGAAAGAGGAGCAGTGGTTGCCCTGCTCACTACCAGCAAAGCTGCCACCAGCTATTTGCCAGCTCTTCTCCAAAGGGCTCCTCAGCAGACACTCGCAATTGCTGCATTTAAAAGAAACTGCATTTCACAAGGGATTCCTCCCTTCTTTCAGAAATAATCTTGAATGTTCCTTTAAAAAATATATACATGAAAAATATTTTTCATTTAAAAGGCAAACGCTGCAAGGTGAATTCATATCAGCTTTCAAAATTTCAAAATTTCTCCAAACACTGGAAAAAGTGTTGAATAACAGGACCCTCCAAAAGAGCCTTTCAGTTTAGAGCTCTTTTTTTCACATAGGTAGTGGACAGTTGGATATACATTTTTAACTGAACAATACTTGGGGAGAACTTAGAGCTTTTTATCAATGATTTTATTATAACATAGAGGGCAAAAAGTATTTATTCTAAAATGTGCTGCCAACTCCAAACTTCATTCATACTAAAGGGTTGGCATTTTCTGGAAAGAGAGTAGCAAATGCCTCAAAAACTGTATAAAGATGGGGAATTTGGGCAAAACCCAGCACGGGC